TCAGTGGCCTCAGCAGTCGCCCCAGCCGAACTCAGAGCCTCAAAGGCTGCCTCGGCTGGCTCGTCCACCAACCCCTCCACAGCCTCAGGCTTTTGGGGTGGAAAATCATCCTCCAGATCTATCACCGGAGGGGCATTGTTGAGCTCGGTCTCAGGGGTGGGAGCCCGGGGATGATCGGGCTCGGGGGAGGGAGCCCTCGGCGACTCCACACGAGCCTTCTTGGCAGTCCGCTTCTTCCTCTTTTTCATTTGGTTGAGGAGCCTAGAAGCCGTAATCCTCTCTTCTTCATCCATGGGACCTGCAACAAAGTTGGTGTCAGTAAACCCGAAGACACCAAGCAGATAAAAGCGAAGCACCAAAAGATAGAAATAGACCTACCCGGGCTCAAACCGGCCTGAACGAGCTTCTCTTCGGTGATGTACTCCCGATGATCAAGCTCAGCCTGAGCCCACGAATGAAAGGTCTCCCACGTCTGCTGGTTGAGGGCGATGCTGGTAGCCTGGGTAGCCACCCTCCAGCTAGTAAGGAAGGGTCACCCTATGCTGGCTCGGACCACAAAATAATCCCGCTTCCAGGCCGGGACCTTGCTCGGGAATTTATGCAGCAACTTGAAGCTTGGGCGAGGAGACAAGTAGTAGACCTGCCCATGCTCGGGGGAAGCGCTAGAGGCGCTCTTCTTTATTAGCAGTATGGAGTAGAGTATGTACGCGTCCAAAGAGAACTGTTGTTCGCGACAAAGGGAAATGGTTACCACCAAATTCCGAATGGAATTGGGGTGAAGCTGATCCAACGTGATGCTGAAACGCCCCAACACCTCGGGGATAAGGGGTGAAGAGGGAGATGAAGCCCACCGGCGAGTTGTTCCCTGAAGATCACGACCTCATCCGGACCGTGCTCCTAGGGAAAATTTCCGGTGGGATGGCTGTAGGAGTACTCTGAAGGAAGGTTAAACTACTGAATCAGGTCTTGGAGCCTCTCTAGCGTCAGAGTAGAGGGACCGAACTGGTCCGGCATCCGACCTCGATGAGAGGTGGACGCCAGTTTACCCGAAGTTGCCCGTGCCTCGTGGGAAGGCCGGGCAGCAGAAGGGTCACCATGACCCGAGGTGCCCGCCTCGGGTTCGTCTGAGGAACTACCCCCACTATACATAACGAAGAACGAATTGAGAAAAAGAAAAGAGGAAAGACTTGGGGACTCACTAGAAAAAGACGAAACCGAGCTGGAAGACCCGAGCTGGAGACCTCAGACGCGAGCTCAAGGCAAAAAACACTTAGCGACGAAGGAAAATGGCCAGAATTATACTATTTATAGACGCGGGGCCCGGTAGCCAATTGTCAAGATTGGATCAATCCAACGGACCTCAAAGAAACAAGGCTGCGGGACTCTCAAGGCGAATTTGATATAGCGCGTTTTTTGGCATCCGCGCAGCATAAAGCGCATGATGTCTGTGTGTGAATTGCACAAGACACGGGTTTTTCCCTCCGTGCAAACTGAATACCTAACCGGTCCGGCCACTAAACCGCCCAACATTGCGGTGTGAGTACCGAGCCAAATCCACCCGGCAAACCATGAACTCCTCGCACTAGGGCCCCGTCCCCAGCACGAGGAGTGAGGGGCAATTGATGGAAGACGATTTGGCCTGACCCCGTGGCCCAAGGACACGTGCACGTAACCTGGCTTGGTGAACAGCTCAGCCTGACAGCGTAGTCTCGACTCAACGGGAGGGGCACGCCGAGTCGAGGACTCACAACTCGGCAAGTCAAGCAACTCGCCGAGGACTAATACCTCGGTAACTTAAACTCCCGCCTAGCTCGGAGAGCCCGGGCTCCCCCCAAGGAGCCCCGAGCTTCCCCCCGCCAAGGAGGGAGCACCTCGGTGCTTCGAGGCAGGGACGGACCTGCCCCAGGCAGCCCGGTACGTGGCAGCCTGGTAAGCTGCAAGAAGGAGGGCAGGAAGACCTCCTGCCCTACCACCATACCCGACAAGTCTGGGGACAACAACCATACAGCGTCGTGCCTGCCACCTTTAGAGGGTGCCTTACACCTGACTGGCACATACCCTGCGATGATGGCCCCGTGCGTGCCACCTCAGCCATGCCAGTAACGACTGCGGCAGGCTGACAATGGCGGTTATACCCACCCTATCAGAGGCCAATGGGCCAGATGCAACGGATTTCTGCTATAAGGAGCTTAGTATCAAGGAGGACAGGTATTATCTTCTACACTCGCGCTATCTGCACTCTTAGCCTTCATCTTCTCCCTTCTTCTCCTACAGAGTACTAACTTAAGCATCGGAGTGTTCCCGCCGGGCAAGCCCCCGGGGATTCCTCTTCTTCCTCATCTCAGGTATCTTTCAGGAGCCACGTGAGTGCCAGATAGGAGTGACCGGATCACGCTACATCAATTGTGTCTACCTGATCTAGACTATAATAAAGGGTAAATTGATGAAACCTTGTTAAAGTTTTTGATCATTGCTAAAACCTGATCTGGATTGTAAAAAAAGGTAAATTGTTGAAACCTCTGTTAAAGTTTTTGATCGTTGCTGAAACTTTTTTTGAAGTTTTGTAATTGTAATCACCTCCCTGAAACTTTTTGACATAGTTGCAAGTAGACCCTTTCTGTTGGGAGTTTAGCTTCAGTCCAAGCACCCTCAGTTAGGGCATTGTTCGCTCAATTGGAGGACGTGCCATGCGCCCTCCAATTCATGTAAACGGTTGAAGCATGTGAGGGATGCTCCATGCCGTTTGTTACGCAAAACCCATTTTTTTCGAGTACTCTCCTCTCCTCTCCTCTCCCTTGAGTGTCGCAGGGGAGTGACTCATTCTCTTCTCCCTCTCTCCCCCCATCCACCCAGCGACGACTTAACATCCATTACCACCGGTGACAAACAACCATCACCGGTGGACGGATCAACCTCAAGTATTTTCTTCTTTGCATCTCTTCTTCTTCCATGAAAACTAACCCTAATCATTTTGGATGGCAGCCATCATCACCGGATACCGGCATCCGACAACCACTACCAGCCACCGAAGGTCTCTTCTCCCTCTCTCTCCCCCCATCCACCCGGCAGCGACTTAACAACCATTGTCGGTGGTCTCTTCTCTCTCTGCATCTTTTCTTTGTGAACCATATTCCATAAACAACAATTCAGTTACTATAGAACCATTATCACTAAAACTGGTTAGAAAAGTTTGAAGAGAGTGAAAATAGTTTCGTTCATTACTTTATGAACTGTTGTATGTAGAACGTACTCGCTGCCTCTTCTCTGTGCTGCATAGGGAGATAAAATAATAATAACAGGGAGCTAAGTTAAGAGTATCCCAAATTAGAACTGCTAATAATATCAAAAGAGCACTTGGGCAAGAGCTGTCAACTATTAGATCTGCCTAGTTTTAAGTGGGCTCCATTTATAGTATGGAGGTGGATAATTAGGGTCGAAAACAGTGGATCGTCTTGGGTTAGTAATGGGGCCTTTGTATGATTTAATCCTGATGATGCAAACATGCAGTTACTCTGTAGTAATGCTTCTCATGAGTTCATCCTTCATCCCTTCTCACCCATAACCCACAGTAATGAGCTCTTGTGCAAAGCATGTCCAAGTGCACTTTGCAACAATGCACACTGTCAATCGGAAATCAGATAAAGGACAACTTACGACGATTTACGATCCTTTCCTCGTTAATGGCAGGTGGTGGTCGCATTGCAATCTTGTTGCATTTTATTACGGTAGAAGACTCCAAGGAAGAGTTCCCACTCGAACTCTGCAAGTGATAAGAAACCAGCAAGAGATAAGAACTAATAATAGATTTGTATCAATCTCCTAGATAATTTTAGAATCCTACTATATATGTACTTTATCTCTGTCTATAAATACAACAGCAAGCCGATCGGCTGTGTATGCTTTTCTCTTCCAAATTGTTATTTTAAGTCTTTTACGTTTTGATGAAGAGGAGCCCAACTCAATCCTATACTCTGGAGAAATAAAGCTTGGTGCCTGCAATAAGGTCACGGTTTTGTAGTGACAAGAAAAACACAGCGACCCACACACACACACAGAGATGGCTGATGATAATTATGGTCGAGTAGTTTACGTTCGAGTACACATTTTTTCTTGGGTAGTCCTACCGCTAAGCCTTCTCCAACCCAAGTCTAACACCGTGCGGCGTCCGAACCAACAATCCCAAAGTCTACAGCTCATCTGAGCAGTAGGCTGAAAATGAAATAAATACTAGAGAGAGAAAGAGAGAGAGAGAGGTGCAAGCAATGGGAAACCTTTCATGATCTTACGAGGAGAGAACATGAAAAGACAAGCTTGGAACACTAGAACAGGTGTTCGGCTTCAGTCCAGGCACCCTCAGTTAGTCCATTACTACCGCTGGTGATAGTTGTTTGTCGCCACTAGGTGAATGTGGGGAGAGAGAGGGAGAAGAGAACGAGTCACTCCCCTGCGACACTCAAGGGAGAGGAGAGGAGGGTACTCGAAAAAAATGGGTTTTGCTTAACTAACATCGTGAAGCATCCCTCGCATGCTTCAGCCGTTTACACGAATTGGAGGACGTGAGGACTTAAGCCAAACTCTTTTGACTGAGGGTGCATCCCTCACATGCTTTGACCGTTTACACAAATTGGCACGTCCTCCAATTGCGCGAACAGTGTCTTGACTGACGGTGCTTAGACTGAAGCCCAACTCTTCTGTTTGAAAAATAAACCAATTTCTGAAAAAAGATTAAAAGGGTTTAATGGATCTAATTGAAACTACCAAACTTCAAGGGAGATTTCAGCAACAGTCAGAAATTCAAGGGGAGGTTTTAGCAATTTACCCTATAAAAAAGATGTGTCCAAATCATTTTTCTCTAGTTATTTCCAATAATTAATAATTAGTGAAGTTATAATGGTCTATAATCTTACCAATACTATATTAATCACCAAGATTGACCATATAAATTTATTTATCTGTTGGAATGAGTGGAGAGTATATATTCCCTCAAGGAGAGAGAGAGAGAGTAGTAACACTATGGCAATCCATTCCTTCTCAATCTTAACCTTATTCTTCCATCTCATTATCCAAAAAAGCTGAAAAGTACTAAATTGCTTCTGATTATGAAGCAAAAAGACAAAAAAAAAATTCAAAAGAAGCACACTAATAAAATTTCAAAGTACAGTTGCAGATTGCAGATCTTTTCTTGGTAGAAGTATAGTAGCATAGCAAAATGACTAAACGATTTCCAACCAATTCTAGACTCAGATGTATATCCACTACTTCGTTATTTCTCAACTCATCAATTCCTCCTCTGCCTAAGTTCTATTTTAGTTCATCCTAGGTCTGAACATGCTCCATGCCTCTAACTTGACAATTTGAATAGCTTCAGTCCCATTGTTAAATGCATACAAATGAGCATTCTCAGCTACTGCATGGAGGGGATAAACTCGAGATGTAATGCATGTCTTCCCTCCAGCACCGAAGCTTTCCACAACAGAGTGATCAATCTGAAGCAGTTCATCAATTAAAACCAAATTAGAAGATAGATCAAGAGCAGAAAAAGACCAATAAAATTTAAGTAATGTTTACAAAGGTTGAAGTCATACCAAACTCCTAAGAGATAGCACTCCATCTTCTAAATCTACATCTACAAAACCTCCAAAGGATGGTTTATACACCTCTGTCCTTAAAGAGGACCTGTTGTTTATAGCAAGGTAGACCAAAGAAAAATCAAGTCAGTGAGTATGTACATGAGGATCTAGCTACAAATATATGTGGGGATTAAGAACATAGCAACAAACCTGGTCTGGTCAGAGCACATGAGCACAACATGTTTCTTTTGAGCTTTGAAAATCCTAAAGAAAACAGATGTGTATTCATCTAGATTGCTGGAAGCCAATGTCAACAACCCAAAGGGGCCTACACCACCCTCAACAGTGGCACCCTTGTGGCCACAGAGCTGCTGTGGATCGACCCAATTAGGATCAAAGGGCTCAGCTTTGTCCAGATTTTTGAAACTGAATGTGACTTCAACATCAGCCTGTGAAGACCATATTGGCATGAAAATCAGTGGGCTGAAGAGTGAAGAGGCTTACTCAAATATGAAAGTGAACCAGAGAAAGGAGAAACTTATATCTAACCAACCTGTGCAACTGATATTCCTTTAACCTCCACAATACCTCCCTTATTGAGGTTTACTTTACTCATATGGACTCCATTTAGCCTTAGAGATTCAACCTCTTGGATCGGCCATTGAATTAGTTGTTTTCCACTTTTGTCAAGCCACAGCTTCCTTGGTATTGTCTGAAGCAACAACACAAACAGATTGAACAAAATATAAAGCACTAGTAGACTGACCAGTTGCTTGCTAGTTGCTAGAAACTTACTTGAATGCCAGCCCAGCCTTTTGCAATATCGTCGGCAGCAGTATCAGACTCATTAGCCCAGCCCCACAAAATCCTTCTCTTCTTCCCAGCATCAAAGAATGTCTTCGATGCATAGAAATTCCCATAATCATATCTCAGCCCCATTGCATTATCAGGAGATGTGTTATCAGGTACATAGCGATCCTTCTCTGGAAAATATTTGCCCACTGTGTAGTACTCAAACCTTGTAACGTCAAGACTGACCTTAAAAACATGCTTAACGCCATGGCCGCCTCTAGATGTATCCAGTCCATCTTCACCTTCCAGAGAAACAGGGAAGAAATCTGGGCACTCCCACATGCCTATCTTAGCCACAGAGTGAAGAGGGTGCTGCGCTTTGGTCCATGTTACGAAGTTTCTGCTCCTGTAAAGAAGGGCCATCCCCCTGCTTCCTCTCTTGTGCCCAACCAGAACTCTCCAGCGCCCATCCTTTCCCATCCATGCAGTGGTCGGGTCACGGAATGCACTCGCATTGACGCCTTGCACGGGCGCCATCAATGGGTTGTAACGAGGCTTAACCCACTCCCTGAGGTATGGGTCGGACAGGTTCTTCGGCACTGCGATGTTCTGAACCTGCCGATTCTGGGTGTCGATGCCGGTGTAGAGGATAACAGGTTTGTTGCCTGGGAGGATCGTCGCCGACCCAGACCAACAGCCATTGATGTCGAATGGTTCAGAGGGAAATATGGCTGGTTCGAGAGGAACCCAGTTGATCAAATCAAATGATATCGAATGGGCCCAGACAATGTTGCCCCAGACTGCACCTTTGGGGTTGTATTGGTAGAACAGATGGTAGACGCCATTGTAATACATGGGACCTGTTTCATTTACATCAGTCGAGCGCGGAAGACGGAATCAGATTCAGACCCAATAACAGGAAAGAAAATATGGTTCGAGAGACAAGAACCCAGAAAGGAAAGAAAGTCGGAACAACTTACCATTTGGATCTGTAGGTTAGTTTGTTGCAGGGAATCGAACGCCATTGAAGAGGAAAGAAAGAGAGAGGTCAGAGACATTAGCATTTGAACAGGAAACAATCAAAATAATATACCGCAAATATGAAAAGCAGGAAAGAAAGATGTCATTGCTCTAGTACTCTACTTCTAATTATGGTAACAGAACTACAAATAAATTTTAAAACCAAAAACGGGAGGATAAGTATGACAGTTCATCAGATAGCAGTAGGGAACAAGGACTTCAAAATTTAAATGGGCTGTGGCATGTGGGGGTGGGGATCAAAGTGGATTCCAGTCTGACATCAAGAAACGATAAAAGGAAAGAAAAACTTCTGCTTTTAAACCCCGGATCAAAATCCATGGTGGGACACTATTGAATTTATTTCCTATCTTCAAAGTTCAAACTAGTGCAGAAACATCCAAAACTCGGCATTCTTCTGGCCTTCTGAGGAGAAGAAGTAATAAAATAATAACAACAAAAATAATAAAAAAATATCGAAGCAGGACAGAAGTCAAAGAAGTTCTGGGTTCCCCTTGCACGGGACAATTGGCCAAGAATCAGGTTCTATTCCTGCATCGAACCAACCAAAAACTGAAAAAGAAGTACTGAGTTTGACAGACAATAAGAGAAGAACACAAAATTGAGGGAAATTTGTTAACAAATTCTGTGAATTTCTCTCATTTCTATCAAACCAAATCAGCCTTTTAGTGTAATATAATCCACATTATGAGGATAATTCTAGATTAAATAAATACTTTTGGCCCGACAGGGAATCATGGGGAAACATGAAGCCAACCAGACGACAGCATTCAATGCTTTTGGCCTATTGCCATCAATCATGCAGCGCATGTTAGCAATTTCCTCCCATTCATGCTAAAACACGCCTAAAATAAGAAATTGCGGCTTCCATCCTTTCCGTTGCACCACCCGTTGAGATTGAGATTACTGCAGCAACGATTAAGAAGGAAAGCCTCCGAAGCGCATATTAGAGTGCGCCATTCATAGAGAGAGAGAGAATCAGAGAGAAGAGCGTACGCACCATTAATCCAATTCTTGGGGGGTTGAAAGTGGTAGCCAGTTCTCTGCAGTTGGTTGACTTTGGCCGCTGCAAGAGACTGGTATTCTGGGAAGATCCTGTGAGACGCTTCGACGACGCCATTATTGCTTCTCAGATTACTGAAACAGAAGCCATAAAAGAAGATCAAGGCCCAACAAAGGGTAGCCATTACTGAAGAGAAAGAGAATGAATGAAGAGGGAAGACGAGCAGAGCAACCAGCGAGAGGGAAGACGACTGCGTAGTCGGGTCCTGGCGGGAGGAAGAGAGTATTTATGGTTGGTGGTAAGATCAGTAGATTACTCCGCACTTCCGCAGTCCGCACATTGAAATGGGTGTTGATTTGGGCACGTTAATATTGTGAAAAGACATAAAAAACCCTGCTTAGTTGACAGGGTTTGTTTTGAGTGAGTTTGGAAAGAGTAAAAATGTAATATGTAAAGTGAAAAACCTTATTATTTTGTATTATTTACGCTGTATATACTGGGGAATTAATAAATGGGATGTGCCCAAATCATTCCCCATTGAAACACGAGACTCAGTGGGAAATTGGGAATAGAAATTACTAAAATTTCGCCAACTTCCCTGATTTTTCTCTGCCTCTGCTTTATCGTAAAAATGTACATTGCTCGGCGCCCATTGGTCCACGTAGTCTTCCATCTTTATTTTTGGGAATGTAATCGAGTTTGAATCCGTTGGTTTATCCAGCGAAAGTCAACGATGATGAGTGATGACGCCACGAAGATACAACTGATAGATAGAGAGAGTGTGTGTGTGAGAGATTTGTTATCTGCTTCGTCCGATCACGGCGATTAAGCAAAGTTAGGGTTTTGAAAAGTAAAATTGAAGATATCAAATAAATTACTTAAGGTTAAGTTTGAAAAGATAATTAATGTAAATATATACAGATTAAATACATACAAAATATAAAGTTTTATATATATTTACATTTATACTCCTTTCAATTAGTTCTTTTTGCGTTAAAAATCCTTCGATCCGAATTTTTTACTTTTGTCACAAATATCTCCCTCTATTCCTCAGTTAACTTAAAAAAATATTTATTGAACTGTTTTAGAATTTTCAAATTTTCAAATCCTCAAACTGCCCTTTTCATATTTATTTGGACATTTATGATTGGATTAGTTTTTCTAAATATAATATTAAAGTTTTATATTTTAAAATGAAGAGGGATATTCATGTCAACGAAATGAAATAAGAATTTAAATAAACTTGTTGCCCTATGTCAATGAAATGATTTTTGTTATTTTAGTCAATTTACTTTAGAGAAAAATGAAGTATTTTTGGGTCAATTAGGGTTAGGGCTGTTTATAAGAAGGCCCAACCCGACCAACCCGAACCGACCCAACCCGAGTCAGCCGGGTTTTCATCAGCATCGGTCGATTTTGGGTTGGGCAAAATCATAAACCGATATATCGGGTTAGTTTCGGTTTTCTTATGTGAAAACCGAAACCGACTCGAACCAATTAGTTTTCTAGTTCGGTAGTTCCTAATTTCCTACTTAACTAGTCTTCTACTAGAACTAGAATAGCTCTATCTTCTAGTTCTTACTTAACTAAATTGTATCTATCCTAATTTCTATAGTCTTTTACACCAAATAGGCAACCCATTAGTCAATTACAATTAGAATTAGGTGCCCTTCTAGTTCTAGGCTTCTCTATCATTTTTGTACAGGAGTAAAACCGAAACCGACCCAAACCGATCCAACCCGACTCAAACCGACTAGGTCAGTTTTGCCTATCAATGGGTCGGTTTCGGTTTCCACCTCATGTAACCCGACCAAGTCGGGTCGGTTGGGAAAACCCCTGTAAACCGACCCAACCCGACCCATGAACAGTCCTAATTAGGGTGTAAGACAAAAGTACGAGGAAAAGAAAATAAGAAAAATTCATGTGGCCATTTAAGTAATTTAATGCATCCTGATGTCTAATATAATGGCCAGTGGGCTATTTTGTGGCAAAGTGAATAAGGGGGGGTATTTGTCACAAAAGAAAGTTTACGGTGGTAATTTTCACCGACCCTATAGTACAAGAAAATTTTGTAATTTACCCCTTTTATAAAAGTGGCAACCGAACCCCTCATTATTTTTTTTCTCCCTAGTGCTCTTTTGTGTATCTATTTGAGTGATATTTGGTGCCAAGCTACCTCCTCTTAATTTTACCAAAAAAAGAGTTAAAAGCAAAAGAATGTCCCATAAGAATGATGTCAAAAAGACATCATAGCTTTATAAACAAATAAAGATATTAGTGTTTTTGTTGGAAAAAAAAGAGAGAAAAATAAAGTATGAAGCAAAAGGAGAATATATGATTCTTTTTTTTGTTGAACCCATGAAAAAACTTAGAAATTTGGTGTGAAATATAATCTGAATTCCGATCTATTTAAATTTCATTTATAATTAATAAAAATTAATAAAATTTAGCCACTCTCATTAGGGATTGTAACTTGGATTGAATTTAGACCATCTAACCTAAATAAATATTATTTAGGTCAAAAAAAATGTGTTTATTCCTTTTAGCCCTAATTTCTCTTAATAAATCCTATGCATCGTACAGATCTCAAATTAATAATTAATTATAAACAAATTAAAATATTAGTCCATACGAAAAAGAAACCATAATAACCAATCAGTCAGTATTCATTCAAAATCATGTGGGTTTCGGATTGGTTTAAATTTTCAAGTCGGTATCATACCTACCCTAATTTTTCAGCATCCCTAATAAACAATTCTGCCTCAATTATTGTTTTTTGGTTATATGTTTTCCGTTCTTGTTTGTGTTTTTTGTGTCTGAATTGAATTGTAGTAGTGTGTTGTTTTCTATCAATGTTTTAAACATTGAGTTGGAACCTGAATCTCTTTGGCCACCTGTTATGGGTCAGCAGTTTGATCACTCGATTCAAATAGATCAATCCAAAAAAAAATTTAAAAAAAATAATTACAAATAATTAAATAAAAAATTGCCTAAAACTGCTGTTTTGGCAAAAAAAAAAGTTTGGGGTTGAAACGGAACCGATATCGTGACTGGTCTGAGCCAAATGCACCAACCATCCAAGTCAATGGCGAATCGAAAACCATGATGTTTAAATTTTTTATTAAAAAAAATTAAATGTTTTTACCCCTAATCTTAACATACTGGGAGAAATATTAAGAATAATATTATGAGGGCAAGATTCGAAATATTGCAATGTATGAATATCAGTTTTCAGGGTCATCAATATTCTAATTATGTGGTGACTAGAAGCTAAAATAGAAGTTAAAATAATAAAAAATGGTCTTAGTAAATCCTCAATAAAATATCAGTATTTTAAATCTTGTTAGATTGTTTTAAAACCCCACGTATAAGGCATCTATTTTTTTTAAGCCCATAGGCTTAGCATTAATCAACTCAAATTACAACCACTCTCCACGAGATCAACGATGAAGGAAGGGGGGAAAGACCAAGAAATTGTCTGAATACAGGAAAGAGCAAATTTGGCCAAACGATGAGCCACTTTGTTACAATTCCTTGATGCTATAGTTTTGTAGTTGACGAATAAGCCTCTTGCACTCTGCCATCACCAATCTGAGTCACCATGGTGGTTCAGAATTTTCCACCAACAAGAGGTCAACAATAAATTTAGCATCACTCTCAATAACTGTATTAGAAAAATTTCAAGATAAGGCCAATCTTAACCCTTCAAGGATAGCTTGGGATTTCACTTCTAGGGCTGGACAAAGAGATAGGGGGCAGCTCTAGCACAAATGCAATGACCACGGTCATCTCTGACAATAATTCCTACACCAGACCGATTTTGGGCCAAAGCACCATCCACGTTGATTTTGAAAAAACCCAGAGGGGGGTTTTGTCAGCTAAGTATTTCACTTACTTCTGGAGGTGAAGCTTGTGGTGCCATATTGTTTCTTTTGTTCTTCATTGCCATTTCTAGGCCTCGGTGGGCATTAGTAATGATAGAGAAAGGGCCGAATGGCTTGTTTTCAAAAACAACCTGATTTCTGCCCCTCCAAATATGTTACATGACTGGCAAGGCTAGAGCAAAGGTGTGGTGGATTTACTACTCAGCTTCAACATCCAAACCAGACTGTAAAAGTGACTGGACACTCAAAAAAGTAAATGGTCCCTTGTTTCCCTCACTCTATGGCACAATGGGCAGTTCACATCAATATTTGGGACATGCTTCTGAAGGGAAGATGGAATTGGTAATAGATTGTAAATACATCTCCAAACAAAGAATAACACTCTTTGTGGGGTAGTGGTAAAAGACCAAAACTGCTTCCATGTGAAGTTTCCCGCAATAATTCCATCTTGTAAGGATAATGGGTCCAAATTACTTATAAGCATGTAAACTAATAAAGTAGAAAACTTGTCTGAAGGTGTCACATGCCACACAACTTTATCATTTAATACGTTTCCAGGTGGAGGGAGTGATATAGACAAAATGGCTTCACATGATGTATCATCAAAAAGACTTTCAACTCTCTTAGCTCTCCAAATCATTGAGTTGTGAGATTGCACTTGTTTCTTGCTTAAGTCTTGGTATAAAGCCATTAGGTAAGCAAGGGTCTGTTGTTACTTGCATGTCCCACTCATCACCGATTTATCATCTACACCCCAATCTTAAGAACTGTCTGCACTTTAAGATACCACTCCCGATTAATGAAACATTGTTGAACGCCATAAATTAAGCTTATACGGCATCTATTAATTTTGATAAAGTTTAAATTGAGTACCGTGAAATTAAACTTATATTTGTCACACCATAAATATTTGTGTGCATCGAATTATACACATGAAAATAACAGTTTTTTATGGGACAAGCAAGAAATCTCAGCGGATCAGCTTCTCACGTCATGAGACCCAGTGGGATACGGTGTCAAAAAAAAAAAAAAAGAACGCGTATCAATACAAAGAGAGGGTGTAACAGTTGATTTACATCTCATTTGATTTCCACGTATCAGCATTTGGCATATTGTTATAACCAGGTTTGTATAATAAATAGATTTAGACCTGGCAAAAAATTAACAGGATTAACTAGGTCTCATGACTACTTGAATTTGAGAACGACTTATGACCTTATTTTAATAGGATCTGTCCTTGTATAGATTTATACCTCTGTATCCTTGAATTTGAGAATGACCCAACCCAGAAAATACTGGGTTGGGTTGGGTTATCAATAAACCCACTAATCCGTGTAAATGGGACTATTTAAGTACTTTTAGAAGTTTTTACTTTTTAATCTTTATTCTTTATTCTTTAGAATTATTAAATGTTCAAGT